TAACAGCGCCAAAAATTGAAAAAGCACAATTGTTTTTGCACGAAATCAATTTGAAAACATGATAAAGAGGCATCACGAGAATGAAAGGGGGACAACTCATATCAAGTTATACTTATTATAAAACCCAGGTTTTTTTTTTTTTGTGTGTGTGTGTGTGTTCGTTTATATATGGGATCGGATTTCCTACATTTTTCAACCGATTTCAAATAAAACTCACTTTTTTTTGGCAGGTAGTGTTTCTTATTGTCTTGCACACTTTTTTTTTATTTTTACATTCAGAATGCTTTAAAAATTTCATTTACAAGACAATTGATTATAATAAAATTCTATTCAATCGGTAGACTCATAACGATTGAAAACAATGCTTTTCTTTGAGTTTGGGTTTGACCAATTCGTAAAAAACCCCCAAACACAAACAAACAAAAACAAAACAACAACAACAACAAAAAAAAAAAACTAATTAAGACATGCGTGTCCGTCAACCTTAAACAATAATCTTTGTCAATTTTATTTTTCAGTCTTTATGATGGTCGATACTTGATCTATCTCTTTCTGTTACATTCCCGGGCAACGCCGGGCTCTACTGCTCTTAATTAATAAAAACAAAAGTAGATGTATATAACACCCTAATACTGTTGGGCAGAAATTATGAGGCAAAATGTTTTAAATTTGCATTGTTTATTGAAAATCACACTAAAACTACTGCACTGTATAATATATTACATCATAATATAGTTAAATTGTTTAGTATAACGTCCCTTTGAAGTAAATGAAGCTCTTATTTGATGACACAATGATTTAGTAATAATGTGCTTGTGCCATCCATTATGTCCATGTATAATTTGTAAGGATTCAGGAAATAATAAATTTTATAAGGCTTTGCTATAAGTCACTGGAATGAAAGATTTTTAATTTTTAACCTTTTTTTTTTTTTTTTTTTGTTTTTAAGCATTACGCCCGAGCAAGGCGTGAAGCCACTAGGATGCAGGGGGTTGCAGAAGATTTGGAGCAAGAGCAGATAGGAGTGATAGAAGAAAGGATGAAGAGAAGGATAGTGGGTAGATCAAGGTAACTGGAGATGTCGATTGACATTACATTTGAATAGTTGGAGATTATAGCTCTCAGGGAAACAGTAATTGGGAAGGGTGTTCCACAGGCGAGAGGTGCGAGGTATGAAGCTATTGGAGTAGAAGAGACGGCTAAATTTAAAGGTTTCTATAGTCTAAGGGTTGGAGCGTGATGCCAGCCTCCTAGGGCGCTTGAATTCATGAAGTCTGGGAACCAGTGAAAGCAGCTCATCGGAGCAATTATCATGAAAATATTTGTAGAAAAGACAGAGAGAGGCGACGGCGCGTCTGTGAGAGAGTGACTGTAGACGAGACGCCAGATCAGGGCCAATTATATTATATATCCGTCTCAGGATCTTGTCAAGAACTCCGAGGTAAACAGAAGGTGCACCAGACCATATATGGCAGCAATACTCCATGCAAGGGCGAATGGTTGTTTTGTTTATTTGAAGTATCGATTTCGGAGAGAAAAATTTCCTGGCGCGGCACTGAGAGCCAACTTTCCTCGCAGTGGACGAAGTCAGCAGTCAACATGAGACCGAGCAGACGCAGGGAGTTGCTCTCAAGAAGTTGACTATTAGACATTCTAATGGGGGGCAGGGAAGGATCTCTATGGTGATTAATAGAGAGTAGTTTAATTTTTGAAGCGTTAAAGTTGACCAGCCAATTCTTGCCCCAGTTAACAACCGATTGGACCCTAAACTTTATTTTCAAACTCACTTCCTAAAAAACGGTAGCGATTTTGGAAAATATATTTTATGTCTTTATCATGTGAAACCCCAAGTTTCAAACTGAGTGCAGAATAAACTTGCCCTAACGTGACAGCAATATTCAATGCAAGAACGAATGGTAGACTTATGAATATGTAAGATAGATTCTGGAGAGAAATATTGCAGATTCTTCTTAGGATCTTATCAAGAATCTCTAAATATATAGCAGGAGCACCAGACCAGATGTGGCAGCAATATTCAAAGCATGGATGAATGGTAGACTTATAAATATGTAAGATAGATTCTGGAGAGAAACATTGCAGATTCTTCTTAGGATCTTATCAAGAATCTCTAAATATATAGCAGGAGCACCGGACCATATGTGGCAGCAATATTCAAAGCATGGATGAATGGTAGACTTATAAATATGGAAGATAGATTCTTCTTTGGATTTTATCAAGAATCTCTAAATATATAGCAGGAGCACCAGACCAGATGTGGCAGCAATATTCAAAGCAAGGACGAATGGTAGACTTATAAATATGTAAGATAGATTCTGGAGAGAAGAATATTTTAACATTATTCACCAATAAAATACATGAGGGTGGTTCGTAACAATGTGCCTGGCATGGCTGGCCTTGAATGAGGCTCGTTGTCTGGATTGGGCTTCAAGATCGCTCGAGACCTTCTTCTCCAGAGCTTTTTCGTTGTGGAACGGACTCCCAAGAGGATGAGTCTTTGATTACTAAAACAATTATCTATTCTTACAATATGTACTTTTTGATTCCTCCCGGTCTACCCTTACAACAATACTCTATCTTGAGTGGCTCTTATATTGGCAGAAAAATTTAATTCCCCCACTAAAAATCGAGCTCGCTACACTTGCGAAATGGTTTATAATACTACTGCATTATCTATGGAAAGAATACGTTTTTCTATTTGTTTCTATAGACATTATTTTCGTGGGTACACGTGTCTGAGTTGCAATCGATTTTTATTTTATTAAACAGTCAAATTAATGACAACCGGCCTAAAATTGAGAAGTCTTACAGAAGAAAAAATATGTCTTGCAGCATGAATCGAACCTTCATCCCTTGCTTTTCATCAGTGAAACCACTTTTTGAACTAAAACTGCGCATCTACAAATTCGTTCGCAGTGGAAGTTTGGAATTACTAATTTAGGAAGCGATTCGTCTATTTCGCCGATCCTGATAAAATAGACACCAAGACTATCTTGCCGGTAAAATATAAATAGTGTTTTAGAACTAAGAATGAATATGAATATGATATATATATATATATATATATATATATATATATATATATATATACCAGTTGTAACAACAAAATTGTCCAAATCGTGTAACAGCAACCTTGACCAATTCTTAGATTAAGATCTGAACCATTGTATCATAGAAGTGATTAAAGATATCTTACTGGCATATGATTGTTCTTTAATGGGCTTTAAAGATGAAAGCCAGAGTATGAATGTTCGTTCCATTACTTAAGGCTTCAATGATCTTCCACCATTGCTCAGTTGGGAAGACATAGTGGGCCAGACACAAAAAATTTTCTTTTTCTAGCTGAATAACTCAAAGTGTTTTTCAGTGATTCTTACGACAAATGCTGTTAGGTGTCTAAGCGTCTTATCTGAAAAACTGGGAAAAGAAACTCAATTAATTTAGATATTAAATATTTTGTGGGATGGACAATCTGGATTGGACAATTTTACTGTTACACCCACTGTGTGTGTGTGTGTGTGTGTGTGTGTGTGTATTAGATTGTGCAGTGTATATATTATATCATAAAGAAGTAATTATACAAAGAATTAATTAGCAATGTTAATTTGATTAATGGCGAAATCACTTCGCTAACAAGACTTAATAAGACATTAACTTACTATCAATTTCTTGAATAACATTATCCTTATATTTGAATTGATGATGCTAGGCCGAGTACATCTGAGAACAATTCAAATATAAAGATCGTGTTCAAGGAATTGATAGTAAGTTAACTAAGTCTTGTTAGCGAAGTGATTTCGCCATTAATCATATAAACATTCTTTGTATAATTACTTTTTATGATATATATATATATATATATATATATATATATATATATATATATATATATATATAGTAAAATGAAATTAATATGAAAAGCTAGAAGATGTAAGCCATGAATGACCCATGTCCTTTGTACTTACACGAGAAACAATATATTAATAGGTTTATATAAAAAAAAAATGTTTACTAAATCTGTGAAATCAATTAGCTATTTTTGCCGTCATTGTCATAAATTTTACTTAAATAATATTTAAATATAAGAAAAAAAATTGTAATCTTATAATATACATACTTATACTTGATGTGAAAATAATTCTACATACTGTAAGGGATTCTAATACATTTACTTGTTCTTAAAAGAAATATAGTATATTAAAAATTAAAAGTGAAAATATTTTTCAAATTGTAGTTAAATAAAACGTATTCTAACCTAAACACCCTCCAAAAATCGTTAAATATACAAATAGAAAAAATGCCGTAAGAATTTTTGCCGTTAACAATAAATTTCTAAAAAAATCCAGACGACATGCATTTAACGGATGTCAGAATTCATTGAAAAATACATCCCTACCCCTACCAAAACGTAACTAATAACTGACACAACAAAATACAGACATAATGAACACGCAAACTCCCCTTGTCTGGTTGAATTGGATTTCTCTGTATCCTTGGAAACGTGAATTATGATTTTTGCTGTGTCTTTAAAACCAAGTAATTTTAAAAGTTACTCCAAAATTCGCTTGAGGATGAAATGAAACTAATGTCTTTAATTTAATTACAAAACTAAATTCGAAGCTTTCAGCTTCCATTTTTGAAACATGGTTAGAACTGTGTAGCGAAAAAAAACATATTTTAAATCAATTAATTTATAATATTAATGCTCTGTAAATGTACATTGAGCACTATTTTGTAAAAAATAAAAATATCTATAAGAACACCGGATTATATATCTTACTGTTCTTTCTTTTTATTCATATATATATATATATATATATATATATATATATATATATATATATATATATATTGTCTGCTTCGTCTGTGGCATTTATTTGCACCGACTGAGTGTATCAATGGTTCCGAAAAGTGTGGATGGTTCTGCACAAGCCTTCACCACTTTAATCAAATCACTTGTGTGGGTTTTCTGGTGGTTTACCATGATTTCTTATCTATCTATCTATCTATCTATCTATCTATCTATCTCTCTATATATATATGTATATATATAAACAATAAACAATATTCCTTCACTAGAGCCATGTTGAAGATACTTTCAGTTCATTTGCGGAACGAGAAGAAAAACTGAAAAAATTATCAATTCACGAACTACATGTGCGTTTGTGGCAAAGAGACAGCAGCCCAATTGTTACTATGTCAGTGTTAAAGATGTCATTCGGGCTATGAGTGGAGTACTTCTGTCTGAAGATTCTGTGGAACAAAACCCCTTCTTCAATACCAACAGCATCTCTGGATGAAAATGTGTTAATCCAGATAATCCGCAGATATTTTGATCCAGATAGTTGGAAAACTGTACACCATGTTTATGGACCCTTGTGATCGTCAGCGCAGTAATTGCGGGAACTGTGTAGACAGGACTTGAACAACATGGATTCTGTGGTCTGTGACTGTTGTCTTCAGTGGGTGCACCTGAAGTGTATTGACAAGAGAACCATTCCAAAGGGCAAGTTTCGGATTTGCAGAAACTGTTATGTCTGAAGATTCTTATGCCTGAATATTCAGAGACTTCTATAATTTCTTTTAATAATTAATAATAAATAAATGATTTTAACTTCTTATTTAGTAACCGATGCTGGAAAAGATTTTAAATTGTTTTTAACAATTGACGGCGAAAATAAACTTCTGGGTTAAATCTGTGTGTTGTTATTTTTAACATTACCTGCCTTCATAATAATAACAATATTTACCGGCAAAATAACCGAGAGTCTATTTTATGGAAACCGGTAAAATAAGCTTCAAATC